CTCAGAACCAGTATCACTTGCCGAAATATTTAAAAGTCATAATCAGTGATTGTCTTGGAAGTGAAAATAATTAAAAACAGAAAGCAAAAAAAAAAAAAAAAAAACATTATGGGAACAAAGTCTATCTCCAATTAAAAATAGCAGAAGATTATTTTGACTCTTCAAACTTGGCTTGGGCTAGACATGGAAATTTGCTAAATTCTTGGCTGATTCATGTAATTCCCATATAGTTCTATGTTTAAGAATATCTATGATGGGGAAAAAGAAGCCCCGATGGCACAGTGGCTAAGTGATTGAGCGCTAGCTAACCAAGAGATCAGTGGTTCAGACCCACCAGGCTCTCCATGCAAGAAAGATGTAGCAGTCAGATTCCGTACAAATTATTCCCTACAAATTACAGCCTAGGGAACCCTATGGAACAGTTCTATTCTGTCCTATAGGGTCACTATGAATGGGAATCAGTTGGATGGCAACAGGTTTTTTATGATGGGAAATGTCTAAGTTTTCTTCATATACAGCTCCTGTTTTGACTTGTTAGTGGTCTTTTAAGAACGTTGCATTGAGCATGAGTTTAATCTACACTTTCTGTATTTATATGGCAATAATATGATGACTTACTTAAAAGATGAGTGTTGTGCACTCTGTAAGTGATACTCATTTTTCCATGTAAATTTGTCATCCAAATGGTAGGAGAAGTATGGTCACTATTGTGGTCTACAGAATACTGTATATCCATTGGTAAAAACTACAAAGATGAGAAAGGGAAATCAGTGTTGAGAGCAAGATGACAATGTTCAGCTCAGTTTTACACTTGATAAACTTACGAATAACACTGCAAATAATAGGAATTCCAGAACACTTAATTGTGTTCATGAGGACCTGTACATAGGCCAAGAGGCTGTACTTCAAAATGAACAAGAGGATACTGCATGGTTTAAAATCAGGAAGGAGGTGTATCAGGGTTGTATCCTTTTCCCATACTTATATAATCTGTATGCTGAGGAAATAATCTGAGAAGGTGGATTATATAAAAAAAAAATGTGGCATCAGGATTGGAAGAAGATTCATTAACAATCTGTGATATGCAAATGACACAACCTTGCTTGCTGAAAGTGAGGATGACTTGGAGCACTTACTGATGAAGATTACAGACTACAGTCTGCAATATGAATTACACCTCAACATAAATAAAACAAAATGCTCACAACTGGCCAACAAGCAATATCATGATAAATGGAGAAAAGATTGAAGTGATCAGGGATTTCATGTTACTTGGATCAACCATCAACATTCATGGAAGCAGCAGTCAAGAAATCAAACCTATTGCACTGGTCAAATCTGTTGCAAAAGACTTCTTTACAGTCCTAGGGAGTAAAGAGTTACTTTGAAGACTAAGGTGCACATGACCCAAGCTACAGTATTTTCAATAGCCTCATATGCATGTGAAAGCTGGACAATAAATAAGGAAGACTGAAAAAAAATGATGCATTTGAATTGTGGTTTTGGTGAAGAATACTGAAAATACTGCCAGATGTATGAACAAATCTGTCTTGGAAGAAGTACAGCTTGGAAGCGAGAATGGCCAGACTTCATCTCATATACTTTGGTTATGTTGTCAAAAGGGATCTGTCCCTGAAAAAGGATGTCATGATTGGTGAGGTAGAAGGCAGCAAAAAAGGGAAGACCCTCAACATGATGGATTGACACAGTGCCTGCGAGGATGGGCTCCAGAATAGCAAGGATTATGAGGACGGTGCTGTTGTTGTTGTTATGTGCCGTCAAGTCGGACCCAACCCATAGCAACCCCTCCCTGGGTTTCCGAGGCAGTATCACTATGCAAGTAGATTGCCCAACCTTCCTTCC